TGAGTTATTTGACCATTTCTTTGTTGGTAAAGCCTTTGGTGTAACAAGCAGCACTGGAGTGAATACCCTCATTTTGTAGGTTTACATTTACAGTGGTTTTAGATTATAATTGCATGTGAACGTAGATGACAAAGTCGATGGGACAGAGTCTGTAATCAAAGTATTCTTTGCTTATTCCTCTTTGCCCCTGAGTTTTGTGCTCTAGTTACAACCCCTTCATCTTTTTTTATTTTTCAAGCATTTCCCTATGTTTCTAAATAATGTTTATATCACTGTTTCTTGATTTATTTCCCCATTCTAGAGATTATTTATTAATTTTCTTACTTCCTACTCTTTTTTTTTTTTTGTAGGTACCACTTTATTGACCTTGGTAGAGTGCTGTGGCATCACAGCTCACAGCAACTTCCAGCTCCTGGGCTTAGGCTATTCTCCTGCCTCAGCCTCCCAGCAGCTGGGACGACAGGCGCCTGCCAAAACGCTCATTTTTTCGTTGCAGTTTGGCCTGGGCCGGGTTTGAACCTGCCACCCGCTGTATATGGGGCTGGCACCCTGCCCACTGAGCCACAGGCGCCACCCTTTACTTCCTACTCTTAAAAATCAGTTTTCTTATTACTTATTATCTGTTAACTCTGAATTATGGAAGTTGAGTACATAAAGAATTCTAAGTACAAAATAATTTTCAGTTATTATTTTGAAGGCTTTGCTCAGCAGTCTTGTGGCATCCCTTGTTACCTTTGAGAAGTCTCATGCCATTCTGACGGCTTTTTAAAAAATATATATGACATTTTAATTTTAGTGTTTCTTAGTCTCTGGAAGCTTTTAGAATCCTGTCTAGATATCTTTGATGTTTTGAAGTTTCATTTTTGCAAGTGTCTAGTATATCTGAAGGATAAATTCCTGGCAGTGCAATAGTTGTGTTAAAGTTGAGCTCATTTAATATTACATTTGATATCTCCTAGTTGTAATAAAATTTTTTTTAGCTATGAGGTCTTCTTGTGTTGATCAGGCCAAAGTGTAGTAGCTATTTATAGGCTTGATCATGGCACACTACAGCCTCCATCTCCTGGCCTCAGGCAGTCCTCCCCCCTGAGTCTCCAGGTAGCTGGGACTATAGGCACATGCCACCACACCTGGCTAAGAATTCTTTTATTCCTGGGTATCTTCTTAGCTAAGCTCTGTCTTTCTCAGTAAGTCTGCTATTAGCCCGTTGTGGTGGCTCACGTCTGTAATCCTAGCACTCTGGGAAGCTGAGGCAGGAGGATCTCATAAGCTCAGGTGTTCAAGATCAGCCTGAGGAAGAGCAAGACCTCATCTCTACTAAAAATAGAAAAACTAGCAGGGCATCATGGCAGGTGCCTGTAGTCCCAGCCTTTCAGGAGGCAGATGGGAGGATCTCTTGAGCCCAATAGTTTGAAGTTACTGTAAACAAGGCTGAGGCCACAGCACTTTACCCAGGGAGACACAGTGAGAATCTGTCTCAAAAAAAAAGTAGGTCTGGTTTTGGTACATATCAGTGGCCACTCTGTGCAGTGAATTTGTCCTGGGAGCTTTTTCACTGAAGTTCTTCTGAAGTTGCCACTCCCCTCTGGCAGCCTGGTTCCCATGTTCCTCTCCCTCCTCCTCCTCCCCAGGATACACACATGCACACGCCCCCTCTGGCAGCCTGATTCCCATGTTCCTGTCCCTCCTCCTCCTCCCCAGGATACACACATGCACACGCCCTCTGGCAGCCTGGTTCCCATGTTCCTCTCCCTCCTCCTCCCCCCCAGGATACACACATGCACGCGCCCTCTGGCAGCCTGATTCCCATGTTCCTGTCCCTCCTCCTCCTCCCCAGGATACACACATGCACACGCCCTCTGGCAGCCTGGTTCCCATGTAGCTATCCCTCCTCCTCCTCCCCAGGATGCACACATGCACACGCTCTCTCGCAGCCTGGTTCCCATGTTCCTGTCCCTCCTCCTCCTCCCCAGGATACACACATGCACACGCCCTCTGGCAGCCTGGTTCCCATGTTCCTGTCCC